AAAACTTAATTTTTCTTACTTGACGTAATTCGTTTAGCTGTAGCACTGTGCCTGTGGCTTGTTGAAAACAATTGAAGTCGAAAGACAGCTGCTCACCAAAGCGATGGGGCCGAAAATTTCTGTAGCATGAGGTATTATGATTATGCAAAAAGTCGAGCGCCATACGGGTTTCGTAAAAATAAAATGCGCTCTATCGATTCCACTGTTTGCTTTGCTGACAAATAATGGGAATCAATTACGCGGCCGATGTTTCAAAGAGAGGCATGTAGTGAATTCGACAAGCAAAAGCAGCTAGTCTCCAGTTTTCTGGATGAAGAAGATTCGAGTGGTTGCGCGAAAATTGTGGCTGCGTGGTAGCGTTTTTGAAGATCCTGCAGTCTGTGAATTCGGGTGGGATCCTTAACTTCCATTTGTGGTAAGATCGAAATCAGATAAGCGTTCCTGAGCGAGTTTTTAATGAAATTTTTGTATACTTTGCATGGAAGTTCTATTTTGGAGGGGACACTATGGTTGTTTATGGCCAGGTAAGGTTCCTTTTGGATTGCAGGGTACCACGACCTAACCTTTGAGTGGCAGCTTTTGAAGTAAGGTGATGATACTCAACATGCACCAAGGAATCTCAGAATGACTAAGACCTTTCCAATTGCTTTTGCCAAAAGAAAAGTTATATATTTGTTGTCGCAGATATCTGCAAGAAGTCGACGAAGTAACTGGACAAGTTGCTAACTTACTCAAAGCAACTGGAAAAGTTGCCGGCTGTGTAGATGTAGATCCGTGCTATATGCTGACCTAGATATCCTTAACGCTTCATATGCAAATTGCCTAAATTTTTTCTCAGTCTGCTTTCTGACTGTTTATTTTCCAGGAAGCAGTAAGAACTGAAAAGCGGCCGGCGATGCTGCCTTGCCCAAAAGGTTGCGAGAAATCAGCAGCAGCATGGCATCTGTGGAGTCTCGGAACGTGGATCTTCTCTGCTCTGCTGGCTGCTGTGATGATTGCCCTCACAATCAACAAGGACAGATTGGATCGACAGTATGCTACCGATGCAATCATCAAGCGAATTGCGCAGGAACGCGAAAGTGCTTCCAGTCCGAGTAGCCCGCTGTCGAGTGGACAGGTATTCCTGAGGCATCGCGTCACTTCGAGGCGTTGTGCCAGTTTTATCAAACAGCGCGCCTGTTTCGGCGAGAGCACCAATCCAGCTAGTAAACTT